GAAGCTCGAGAAGTAATACCACTAAAAAACTAGTTCGCTCTCAAATAAAAACCTAGTTCACTCGCTAAAGCATCCATGGCTGAATGGTGAAAGCGCCCACCAACCTAGAAAGGCTAAATGGGTAAAAAAAGTAGGTTCGATTCTTGCCGGATGCACTGCCTCTTAAAGACAGAAACAGAGGAGGGAAAGAAGGTAGTATAGGGAACTTGCTTTTGGATTCTTATCGAAAGTGAATCCCTCTAACACTTCAGTTAGTGTTTTATGAGAAAATCTTTGCAGCCTAGACACAACAAGTGTGAAAATCTTAGTCACTAGGCAAGAATGGAAAGAGCTTCATTACCTGCTTGAGAGGGGAGTCAAACAGAGTCTGAGGAAGCATAGCTATAGCAACGTAGTGTTTGAGAAAAGTGTGCCTGGAGTAATAGGCCTGAGAGCTACCCGCGCAACTAAAAGAGTTAACTTCTAGAATAACCGGGAAATTGATTTTAGTATAACTCTAATTGTGGGTGGTTCGTTACTTTTGAAGTGGTAAGCAAGTGATCCTCACAATTCGTTTTACCTGACTCTACTCTAATTGTAAGATAACTAGAAATAGGAGATGAGAAAGTTGAGTAGCAGCACTGATGGGAACATTTTTTTGAAACTAGAATGGTTGATAATAGGAGACTTGCGTTGTAGGTAAGGCTTTTCAAAAGCCTCGACTTGGCTAACGCCCTTTGGTTTTGAGGATCAATTTGCCCGTGCTTGCTGGTGTCAGGGTTGCAGATAACATAAGTTGTTTCGGTGCCATTTCCTTTGTTATGAATGAAATTTTGGAGCTCAGGCGGACGAGGGTTCCGGAGACACCTGCTCTCCCGCTACTCCGTGCGCGCAGAGGTATGGGACGGGGAAGACAGAGGGCTGTGGAGATGTGGATTCTCTCGGGAGCGGTTGCGGAAGCCGAGGAATGGACTGCAGATATATGGCTGTGACCGGGGAAGGAGACGTAGGCAGCAGAGAATCTTAGGAGACGGTAACTGACGCAGTCAATTCGACTCCACCATCAAGAAGCGAAACTCCCGTGATAATGTGGATTTAAGTGGCAAAAGACTAGCCACGCCCGCCTGCCTCGGCACGGCCACGACCCACGCCCACGCCCATGGCCCGGCCGGCGGCGGCGGCGGCGCACGTGGCACATCTTTATCATTTTTCCAGCTTCTCAATTTAGATGAATAATTTTCAACCGTATAAGCTGAGTCAGCGTTCAATAAAAATCTCGTATGACATTAAACATACAACACTTAATGTTACATATCATAGAATTTTATTTGATTTATTAAATATTATATGAGCCAAGCCCATATTATATCCAACACATGAGTCACGACCTCGGCCGCACATGAGTCACGACCTCGGCCGCTCAATGCTGTCGCCTCGACACCTCCTCGTGAGCGCGCTCTAGCCCCTCCACCGCACCTTCGGCCATGCCCCGCCCTTACGTCGTCCTCCATGCCGCTGAACACACATCGACCCTCATCTTCCACCACCGCGTAGCACACCTTCTCCGCAGCACCAGCAGTCGGGCAACGCCTTCGTCCACCACGTCGACGAGGACGAGCTTGTGCCACCCGCGTGGATCTGCGGCGTTCCCATACCTCCCACCGGCATGAGCCGAGCCCATATGCGGCGGCGTCCGCGTCCGCACCTAGCTCCACTTCTCGCATCTCCTGTTTGGGACAAGTTCATGTTGCCCGCACTGGCTGGCCCTGGGGCCAGGGATCCTGCCGGCCATAGCAGAGCTCGCGCGCCGCCTCCACTCGCGCATGCGCAGGGGAGGAGCTCTGGTATTGCGGCGGTGATGCGATGTTCGGCGGCGAGAGGATGGATCTAGATGAGTGTGTGGACAGAAGCCTTGATGTGGCTGTGCGGGAAGAGACAAAAATGAAATGAGTGGACTAGAGCATCTTGCTAGGCGCAGTCGGTTTCCTTCTTTTTAAGTCGATTTTTGTTTCTTTGGTCTTCGTCGTAATATATCACTCGCCGTCCATCACTCATATGTAAAAGAATATTAATATTTATAATACATAATTAATATCATTAAATAGATCTTTAAATATATTTTCATAATAAATTTATTTGAAGATATAAATGTTACACATATTTTATATAAAGCTAATTAAAAATAAGAAAATTTGACCTGCACAGATCCTATAACGACCTCTATTTTGAGACGGAGAAAGTAGTCTATATGCCTGGCTATTCTACTATGGTTTGCCATCTGGTGCTACACATGGAACCTTATGACATTCAATCACTTAGGAACATCCGCAACAATAAGAGTCAATTACTGGCTCTAAGTCAACATCTTCAATAGTGTTAGCTTTTAGCAATGGCTCAAAGCATGTGTTACTATTTCTAAGTCAACATCTCCAATAGTGTTAACTTTTAGCAATGGCTCATAGTATGATTAGATATATACTTGCTCCATATTAAAAAAATGAAGTCGTTTTGGACAGCGACACGGTCTCCAAAGCATAACTTTGACTACTTATTTTTATAAAGATATTTATCAAAAAGTGATATATGTAAATTTTTGTGAAAGTATTTTTCAAGACAAATCTATATATATGGTTTCATATTTTCAAACTCAACAATTTAAAAGTTATTCATAATTTATATTCCCAATGTTTGACTCAAGCCTTGTCCAAAACGACTTCATTTTTGAGTATGGAGGAAGAATAACACTCTTACGTGCTCTTGGAATGTGTGTATGAGCTAAAAATATTTAGAGCTAGTTTATAAGTCAAATATTGTGGGTGTCCTTAATTCGGGACAAAATTTGAATCGCATAGATTATTTTATGGGTGACAAAATTTGAATTGCGTACATGCGATTATTTTTGGGAGAATTATCTATTTGACACTAAAATAAATCAGTGTTTCGTATTTGGCACTCTAAAATTTGAACTTTCTTATCTGGCACCTAGTTGAAATTTGCTTTCGTAAATGGCACTATCGTCCATTTAGGACAGTAACGGTGTCAAGTGACCGGGAAAATGACATGAATACCCTTGTTTGCAGTAGAAACCCATGGTGCCAAATAGGGAAAGAATAAATAAACAGGACTGGCCTGCTGTTGGGTTCGTGCACGTGGTTGCTGGAGAGGTGTTCCGTGCTTGCTGGCTCTAAACGGGCTTCGACCTTTTGGTCTTGGGCCCGTAGGAACACAACAGAGGGAGAGGGAGAGGGGTACGGTACATAGAAAGGAACAGAGCAAGGGCGTCGTCGTGCTCCTCAAGCACACGTCCGCCGAGTGGGACTAGTGTTGGAGCTCGGCTAGCAGGCGATTTCGGCCACCATTCTTGAATCCAAGGGCATCGGAGGGAGAGGAGAGGTAGGGGCTTCACGTGTAGGCTAGCTTCGCTTGGCCGATTGCAAAGCCGGGGAGGGAGATCGTGAGCGCTCTCTCTCTCAGTGCAAGGATAGAGGAGGAAGAAGATGAGCGAGGGGTGGGTGGTCATGAGCTGGTGGCTGGCTCGGCGTGGTGGAGAGTCGAGGCGAGAGGCGCCCTGTATAAGCAATGGAGGAGCGGGCTCAACACCACGCGGCATGGCCGCGACAGAGGCCCAGCACATGGAGGGCCAGGCGATGTGCGTGGCGTGGTGACGCCTTGCCGTCTGGCGTGGCGTGGGGTAGTAGCTTTGCGAACTACGGAACAAAGCGAGCGGCGGGTGGCTATGGCGGCCGAGGCGATAGCTACATTGATTACAACGGATGCAAAGGCGGCACACGGCGTCGTGGCAGCGCGATTATACCTTCTTGCTCTCCCTCTCGCTCATGGTTATACCTTTGCTCGCCACGCGCCATGGGCTCGCCATTGCCGCGCTCAAGCTCCGCCACCAGCGTTAACATTTGCTGTCATGCCGGCCACAACCATCTCCGACGCCACCACCCCAAGCCGTGGCTCGTCGAGGAGCCTCGCTAGCCAGCTGCGGCGGCTTAGGCCATGCCCCCCCTACCTAGGCCGCGGCTCGTCGAGCAGAGGCCGAGGGCGGCCTCCCGCGGGGTGGCCTGCTCGTGCTCCGGCCGTGGAGGCAGGGCAGCCTCGCACAGTGGCACAACAGAGCCGGGAAAGAAGGGGAAGAAGGTCGTGGGATCTGGGATTCCGGGGGCTCTGTCCAAATTTCAGTCTTCTGTATCTAACAGAGGGGTACATTGGACATAGAAAAAAAACTGACATGGTCAAACCAGTTAACTAACAGATGACCAATGAAAAATGAACGACAGTACCATTTAAGAAAGAAAATTTTAACTTAATGCTAAATAGGAAAGTTCAAATTTTCAAGCGTCAAATACAAAATACTGATTTGTTTCAGTGACAAATAGATAATTCTTTCATTATTTTTTAGTAGAGCAGTGTGTACGACCAAGGCCATTGTCACGTCCCCCAGATAGAGCAGCCTATTTCACGCATCCTCCCCGGATAGAGCAGCCTATTTCACGCATCCTCCCCGTGACAATGGCCTTGGTCGTGCCACTGACAGCTACCCAAAACCATCTCCAGCCTGTTCGTTTGGCTGTGGCTTATCGTAAACGATTGTTAATTTTCAACCAAAACAGTATTTTTCTCTCACACAAATCAGCCAACAGTATTTCTTCACGAACCAGCAACGAAACAAACCAGCCAACCGAACAGGCCTCGTCTCCACTACTGTTTTCACTGACAACACGCCACGCCCCCTTCTCCACATGCCGCAGAGCGGGTGGCGTGCAATGTCGAGTAACAAAAGTAAAGCTGCCTCCCGGTGCCGATTATTGCCCCCGTCCCGTTAACCCCCAGCTCCGCGCCCGAGATTCCCTGCGGATGACTCACTGACGTGTGGGCCCTCTCTGAGAAACCTGGCAAGCACTAATCGAGCCGCCTCGGCTGCACTGCCCTCGGCGAGAATAAAGACATCCCCACACGCAGCTCGAATCCCCGCACGTGAGCGGCGGAGGCGGCGGAAGGGGGACGGCAATGGCATGCGGCGGGTGCAGCTGCGAGGCGGCGGTGGGGCGACAGCGTCGGAGGCGTACCTGGAGGGGAGCCGGTGCGGGAGGCGCGGGCTGGTGGCGGAGCTCTGTCGGCACTTCTACGCGCAGGGATGGGTCACGGGCACCGGCGGCAGCATCACCGTCAAGGTCAACGACCCCGCCGTGCCGCTCGCCGACCGCCTCATCGTCATGTCACCCTCCGGTAACGAGCGATTCACCTTGGATTCCTCTCCCTGCCCACCCTTTTGTGTCCTTGGGGGCGCATGTCACCTGTTCGACGAATTGCTGCGTAGTGAACTAGACGCTGCCGCAGATCGCCCCCTGGAAACTAAACGATCGCTTCTGTTACCCAAGTTGTTTGGCTCATGCCATATGTCTCCACGCTTCACGTGCAAAGCCTCTGATCAGTCTCTTTTTGTTGATCCAAATTATTCATGGCCTGGCAGTGAAATGTTATGAAATGGACTAGCTAGGAGTCATTATCATATAAGGTTAAAGCTTAAGGCCAAGTGGTTGTCAATTGAAATTTGAAAGGGACTTTTTAACTAAATTTAAGTTAAAATTTCGAAACAACTGGAAGAGGTTGTTTCGCTGGAAAAAGGCCTAGGATGATGATGGTCTGCCATGGCACCAACTTAAAATTCTGTTACCAAGTTATGGCACACAGAAGTTTGAGCTTTTGAAGTGTGCATCGTTTAACTTATATCTCAGTGCAGTTCTGCATTGGGAGCTTGAGCTCATGGTATACTGTGAGTTCTGCATTGGGCTGTACTTGTACCACTGACACAATATCTCTTTAGATGTCCAGTGTTGAGCTAACTTAAGCAGTTCAGGCTCTAAGGCATATACACAAGAATATCGATCGGCATCCTTATTTGTGTGGTATTGCTGTCTAGTACCTTTACTGCTAGTTAGTGGGTCTATATGCAGTGTGTGAAAGAAAACACGATTTTATACCTAATATTATGCCAGCACCGAGCTTCAAATTTGAGGATAAGTAGCTATTGTAGTTCATTCCAGTGACAATAAATGTTGTTGACCTCTTTCAGGTGTGCAGAAGGAGAGGATGGTAGCAGAGGACATGTATGTGATGGCTGCAGATGGAAAAGTGCTTTCTGCATGATAGCAAAGCCATGGCCAAACAAGCCTCCAAAGTGTACGGACTGTGCTCCTCTGTTCATGAAGGTTTGTGAATCCTCTCTTCGTTTTAACTTTTGCTGTTGCTTCTGCTTGTTTTGATCTGAAAACTCTAGTTTGCTTTGGTGTTTTGAAGGCGTATCTGATGAGAGGAGCTGGGTCTGTCATTCACAGCCATGGAATAGAGACTTGCATTGCAACAATGCTCAACCCTGGTGCAAAGGAGTTCAGGGTAATTCCTATTGTCCAAGTGTCCTCAGTCTGATTAAATGTGTGAAACTGAACATTTTGTGATATCTTCATTTCCAAGGAAAAGCCTACTACGGTTATTAACATTTATCTGCTGATGTTTTAGATGGCATTCAACAGTCTAATGATTTTTAAATTATATCCACAACACGCTTCTGTTTCATGCAATTTATTTCAACAAGAAAGCATGAAGCTGCAACATAAAAACAAACAATGCTACTCCCTCCATTCAAATTGTAAGTCGTTCTGACTTTTCTAGATACATAGCTTTTATTATGTATCCAGACATAATATATATCTAGATGTGTAGCAAAAGCTACGTATCTATAAAAGCCAGAACGACTTAAAATTTGGAATGGAGGGAGTACCTTTTTTGTGTGCACAGACTAAGTTCAACAGTGATTGCATGCATACATGCATGAGCTAGTTGGATTGGACCAGTGATCTGGACAGTGGCTTCATACAAATTCCTTTAATTCTCCATACAGCGTACTGTAATGTTACAGCGTACTGTAATGTTAATAAATGTATGGGAAAGAACTAAAGTGGCAGGGATGTTCTGAGAATCCACTAACATGTAAAGTGATAATTTAATTTGTTGGTAATATCACACCCTAGCTGGAAATTTGATTATATACTATGGCCAGGATTTAGAAACTAAAATTCATAGTAACTTCTATTGTATGCGAAAATAGCTGTGGTAAGAAAATCCTTATTTGACTAGATACTGACGGTCTGACGCTGATCTTACTGCAGGTGACCCACATGGAAATGATAAAAGGAATCAAAGGTCATGGCTACCGTGATGAATTGGTCATTCCTATTATTGAGAATACTCCTTATGAGTATGAGCTCACTGACTCCCTAAGTGAGGCGGTATGCTATCAAACTCCTATCTTTCAATCATCTCAATCCTAGAGACCAAATCTATAGGTGCAGATACAATCTTATGCTGTTTTGGAGTTTTTAGTTCTTATGGGTGCAGATAAGATATCATTCCAGCAATGCGCTTGAGGTTAAGGATTTGAATCCAAATTCCCTGCCTAACAGGCTTCTAGGGATAACCTTATAAGTTATAACAAGTCAATTCAAGGCTTATTAAGTCTCTATGTTTTAAATTTATTTGATGATAAATGGTGCAAATTACGGTTTTATTTGATGTTCATAGCCTCTGATTATAGTTACTGTAAAAGTTTAGCCATTATCATAAATTATCAGCCCAATTTGGTTTGTTTTCTACAATACTGTTTGATTTATCTAGAGTTTGAGCCAAGACCACATATTCTTGAATCTTGATAACAAAGTTGTGATGAGTATTTTAGATGTATGTAGGCCATTGATACAAAATTATTTAACAGATTGAAGCATACCCAAAACAGCAACTGCTGTGCTTGTAAGGAACCACGGAATATATGTATGGGGTGACTCTTGGATCAATGCCAAGACACAGGTGTGCTTTCTATCTGTGAATTTCTGCAGTTGTTTTAAAATGCTCTGGACTCTGACTGTTGCCTACCATTCTTTTGATGACCTCTCACTGTTATTGTTATCTGTGTTTCTGCAGTTTAGGCTTCTGGTTCCTTCATTTCAAAACCTCTTATATTGATATTCTTTGATGGTTAATTTTAGCATATAGTTATTCAGGCAGACCAGTGCGGAGGCTCCCACATGAGTGGGGTGCAGGGAAGGATAAACCGAGACAAGCCTTTCCCCCTCAAAATCTGCGGAGAGGCTGCTTGAACCCACGACACAGTAACTCGGTGAGACAGCTCTCACCACTTTGCATCGCCCCTGCCCTTCTAGCATATAGTTATTCGATTAGGTAAAAATAAAATGTAACAGTTTGTTACACCTAGGTTACTCTTTGATACTCCTTTTCCCCTGGAAGTTAACTTGTCTTATAAAATTTTTTACATGACTATAAGCTAATATGGTGAATCTTGTAATGCAACTTTTGACTTGGATACAAATTTGGATTCAGTTGGCACTAAGTATATAATGAAGTGGGACACATAATACCCTTAACTTGATTTGATGATTTCATTAATCCCTCGTTGCTGCATGATACCCAGGCCTGCTTTGGCTTCTGGGATTACCAAATTGAGGACTTCATTTGGATGACACTCTAAATTTCCTGAACTAGGTCTTCTCTTTTAGAAGGAAAAAAAGCAATGTATTTGTACCATTATATTCATGTAAGTCTTCTAATTCATAAGAGCTGTGATAATAATCTTGTTTAAATGTTGCCATTATATCTGCTATGTTTAGAGCTAATTATGTGATTCCTATTTATTCAAGTGGAGATGTGAACTTCATTTTTGTGGCCTTGCATTTCAGGCTGAATGCTATCATTATCTTTTAGATGCTTGCATCAAGCTCTATCAGCTAGGTATTGATTGGACAACTCCTGAGCATGGTCCAATAAACAATGCAAAGAGACAGCGCAGCATTTTGAGCTCTGAAATTCCTAATGGATGTCATGCTGCTGATTCATCAAAGGTTATTTCATTGTTCCTATTATTTTGGGAATACCATTCGTGATACCTGTAGGATTTTTACTTTGCAACTGTCCATAGCATTTTGTCAAAAAAACTGTCTGTAGTATTTCTGTAGTTTTTTTTTGAAGTTCTGTTGTTTTCCTTAACGCTTTTGTGATTACGATGTCTTTTCTGTTAAACTCAGCTTGATCTTTTTTCTACTGTCACAGTGTGTTGTACTAGACATTGAGGGGACAACCACTCCAATATCATTCGTGATTGATGTTATGTTCCCTTATGCCCGTGATAATGTACGAAAACATCTGACTTCTACGTTTGATTCTGAAGAAACTAAAGACGACATCAAACTGTTGCGCATCCAAGTAAGTAATGAAGCGATGACAAGTTTTTAAGTGATACTAATAGTTTGCACTGGTTGTTTTGTTTATTCATGTTCTAACAAGCATGTGGTCAACTATTCAGATTGAAGATGATTTACGAAATGGAATTTCTGGGGCTATTCCAGTTCCACCCGATGAGGCTGGCAAAGAAGAGGTTATCAATTCATTGGTTGCCAATGTTGAATCGATGATTAAAGCAGACCGGAAGATCACACCATTGAAACAACTTCAGGTAGCTTAGTTTACAATTCACATTCTTGGTCACTTTTGCAAGCATATTAATTTTATGTTTGGTATAGTTCAGCTGTTCTAATTGGCCAAATTCAGGGTCATATTTGGAGGACTGGATTTGAAAAGAAAGAGCTACAGGGAGTTGTCTTTGAGGATGTTCCTGTGGCACTAAAGAACTGGCATGCTAGTGGCATAAAGGTATCTCTTTGCTCTAATTCATGTGAATTGTGAAACGCTGATTGTCCAGGCTGTAGAAAAATACAACATAGATTTTAATTATAGAAAATCAGTGCTAAAAATGCTCAGTGCTTCAAGATTTAGTGTAAAATGGATTATATTTTTGTGTTAGTAGGTTGTCACAAGACTCACAACTCACAAGGCCGATAAAATTTAGTGCAACATGAAAGGGAACACTGGGAAAGTGTTTTTTTTTTTCAAAAGAGTTTGTTAAGCTACTGCATTCATCTCAGTTTTGTAAATTATAGCTTTCTAGTTAAGTTAGCACAACAATATGCATTCCTTAGTTTGTAAAGAACATCAATCGTATTTTCTTATGATGCAAAATTATGAATACTTGTCATTAGGTCTACATATACTCAAGTGGAAGTAGAGAAGCACAAAGGCTTCTATTTGGCAATACAACATACGGTGACTTGCGAAAGTTCCTATGTGGGTATTTTGATACCACCACTGGGTAAGCTCTGGATTTCTTGTTGCAGTAGCCTATAATTTTATAAAAGATTCAACACAAGAAAAAGGGATTTTGTTCTCAAATACACAAAAACTGAACATTAATTATGATTTATTTGGTGATAGATTTCTTGTTCCATTCATCTGCGAATCTATTAAAAAGTTGACATAAGTCATGATTGTCATCTTTTATATACAGAAACAAAAGAGAAACAAGGAGTTATTTTGAGATCTCTCAATCACTCGGGGTGGACCGTCCATCTCAAATCTTATTTATCACCGATGTCTTCCAAGAAGCTGTTGCAGCAAAAAACGCTGGTAATGACTAGTTCCATTTAATAGCCTTGTTCCTCTGTAGACAAATCCTGACTTCCTTCTAATTTGTCACATCCAGATTTCTTTTTGCTTGCATAATGTGTTAAGTCAAAAGTTTTACAGTTGATGTTATTATAATCATGTGTCCGTGTTATGGTATCATTGTTGTTTTAGGGCCGTATGACCTTGTGAGATAATCATAAAGCTGTGGCGATGCTTGTTTATTTGCTCATAGCATTGGCTGTGTTTGTTTTGTTGTTCCCATATTTTTCAAGCTGGAAATTTTGGAATGATTATTGTCTACTTAACTATATCTTTCAGGTTTTGAGGTGATAATCTCCATTCGCCCGGGAAATGCTCCACTTCCTGACAATCATGGTTTCCGCACTATCAAATCATTCAGCGAGATCTGAGGAATATGGTGATCTGGACATGTCTGGATATATGTAATAAGCGAGTGCTCCCTGGGCTATAATATTAGCTCGCGGACCAGTTCATGCAGTAGTAGCAGTATAACACCGCAGCATGGCAAAACGATGTGACGTAATACTAAGTTGGAATGGCGAAATAAAAACTTTGGCCCGTTGTATATTTGTAGCTAAGCTGCAACCGGAGAGTTTGCATTTCCTTGTTCAGCGTCTGTAGGTTGTGGCTGTGATCATTTTTATTAGTTATTATTATACGTTTCTGCCCCTATGCTTCTCTAATTACATTTACCAATCGATCTACTTATCTTCAGCAAAATGTACTGCCCACCTTTTATCTTGTCTTCCAAATATAATTGTAGATTTGGTAGTTACCTTCAAGGCTGCATTTTCATTCTGTTTTAGGGAAGGCCACTGACAGCTGGCATTTTCTTTTTGTTTAGGGAAGGCCCAACATACAGACCGATTGCAGATTTTCTTTTTCTACTATATATATGCCTGTATGTTGCAGGGGAGCCACTGTTTTTTTTTGACTGAACCTCAATAATTAGACCCAGACACGTGAGCTTTGAGGACTACGTATCGAACATGGAGAGGTGGATCCGGTCTTCGTATCAAAACCGGATAGGACGCGGACGCATGAGCTTAGAGTGGAGGATGATGACGTTAGTCTTTTTAGGTGTAGAGATAAGTACATTTTCAAGATTTATTTTTTATAAAAATAAATATATATAATTAATAAAATACTTGTAAATATATACTCTTATTGCTGATTGAGTCGTTTATATTTAAATTCATGCCGATTAGATTGTCGTTTATATTTAAATTCACCCTGATTAGATTGGCGGTAAGAATTACAGCCAACTCAGTTGGCGTGGGTCGTTCCTCGTTCTTTGCCGCCCAAGGACAGCTCGTTACCGACGGGGCCGTTGACACGGAGACCTCTACGTAGTCTAGGTACTCCCTCCGTCTCAAAATAGAGGTCGTTCTCACTTTTTGATAAGTCAGTATTTTTTAACTTTGATCACTTATGTGTAAAAGAGTATTAATATTTATAATACATAATTAATATCATTAGATAGATCGTTGAATATACTTTCATAATAAACTTATTTGGAGATATAAATGTTACACGTGTTTTCTACAAAAACTAGTCAAAGATGAAAAAGTTTGACCTGCACGTATCCCATAACGACCTCTATTTTGGGATGGAGGGGTAGGTGTTAGTGCCTCGAGTATGATCAGCTTTTGATGCGCTCACGTAGCTAGGGAGGATTGCACGTAGGGTTGCAATTTTAGGAAGTGTTTGGTTACCTCTCCTAAATTTTGGTCGCTGTTCCATCGAATGTTTGGACACATGCATGGAGTATTAAATATAGACTAATTACGAAACTAATTGCATAGTTTGTGACTAATTTACGAGATGAATCTTTTAAGCCGAATTAGTCCATGATTTAACAATGTGGTGCTACAGTAAACATGTGCTAATGACGGATTAATTAGGCTTAAAAAATTCGTCTCGTGGAGTACTGACGGATTATGTAATTTGTTTTTTTATTAGTATGCGAACACCCCATACAACATCCTCCCGACACATCTCCTAAATTTTAGTCACTGGATCCAAACACCACCTTAGAAAGACCTAATCACCCAGCTGAAACTGTCATTCAGAACTGTGAGCACCTGCGTGCTTCTCCATGGGCTGCTTAGCGCGATTTTCGGTGCTGGCGGATCAAGTGAGTCATCAATTCACGACTGTAAAGCCATTCCTCCAAGCTGAAACTAGGGGAATCACCAGCAGGATCCAGCCCCAAAATTCTGCGAAGTGCTGCATTACAAAACTTCATTCAAACGGGGAGCTGACCCAGGGCAGAATGAAACGATGTATTCTACCAAAACTCAGCAAGTTCCAACCAATTGTGCCATTGCTTTGGACAGGCATGAACGAAACAAAGCAAGAAAGTCTCCAAGCACTAGTTCACGTTCGATCTGCCCGTTTGACTGTGGGTGATAAGCTGAACTCATGTGCAAATCCACCTTTGCTAGCTTAAAAGCTCATTCCAAGGTGAACTAGTAAAAATCGATCACGATCAGACACCATGGCAGCCAGCATCCCATGAAGCTTATAGGCCTGTGCCAGGAACACTTTGGCGAAGGGATTCTTGAGACTCATAAAGCGGGCATACTTGGAGAAACAATCCACCACCACAAAGATGCAGTTATTACTACCACCAGATAACGGAAGCCCCTCTATGAAATCCAAGGAAATAACCTTCCAGGCGCGATTGGGCATGAGCAATGGCTGTAGCAAACCCGGCAACCGAGAACAATCCGCCTTGGCTTGCTGACACACGAGACAATACCTGATACTAGGGAGATTCATCCAAGGTCGTCTTCCAAATTTTAAATCAAAAAAATACCAACTACAGAGTTACGGATCTCATTAAGCTCTATAATATTGACATAACATTTCTCTTCATCCAACTTTATATGCAAAGTAATGAATTTTTTAGATATGCTATATATATAATATTCAAGGGTATCATGGTTATTTTAACTTCTCTTTTCCATACTCCTAGAAAATACTCCATCCGTCCAAAAATAATAGAAGTATTTGACTAGAGAAAAAGTCAAATTTTATAAAGTTTGACCAACAGTTAGTCAAATTATGTGCAAATTTAGGACATAAAACTTGCATCAATAGATTTGTGTTCAAAGTGGCTCTAAAATAATATTGATTCTTTAGCAATTGGCTATATACTATAAGAGAAATTACAGGTCAAAATCATCTTGTACTCCTCCATCCCTTAAATAAGTTCGTTCGAAGGTGCTGAAGGTTTTCACAAAGCAATTACGTTTTCGGTGCCCCCACCTGAGATTAGGCGAGTTTGCCCGCCTTTTGGTTTCGGTCACGGCAATTAACAAGGATAACCGTTATACACGGTAAGGTTAGCACCCGGATGTCCAGCCCCAGGCCCGCGTCCGGACGCAGCTCCCGTGCTCCCGTGCCCACATCACATCCCTCGCGCTCCGTCCCGTTCCCAACCATTTCCAGCTCTGGAACCGTGGCACGCGCCCCGCACGATAGAAACCGCGCCCTTCCCGCGTCTGCACGGCGGAACCGCACCCTGCACCAGCACGGCGGAACCGCGACCCATGCCCACCCTGCTCGCTTGTGGATGCGCCTTTGTGGAAGCGTCTGCAAAGCCTCGGTAACGGCACATGAACCATGACAAGTACTTCCGGCCCGGCGGACGGTGGACAACGGCCTGCAACACAAGATCTACTTGAAACATCTAGATAAAACATTTGGAACATATATCTGAAAATAGATGAAGCATTTGAAATATACGTGTATAGCCATTGCAACATGTGCAACACCAGATCAAATTTTGAAACATCCAGATGAAATATTTGAAACAAAACATCTGAAACACTTAAAACATACGCTTGCAACATGCGTATATTGCCATTACAACATATGCAACATCTCGGATCGACTTTTGCAACATTAATGAAACACTTTAAACATAAGTTGGAAGCGAGAAACACTTCAAACATGGCGTCACTAGCGGCATGGCCTATCTGGTGGGAGATTACGGTAACCAAAGCAAGCTTAGGTCGGAGGGGAACATCAAGAAAAGCGGCCCGGTGTGCACAGGCCTCCCCTTCTGCGCGGAGATGAAGTCGGACCGGGGCAACCTCCTCCTGGTGGCACCGGCGTGGTGCTGCTTCGCCATGGCATAACCGTGCGAGGTGGGCGAGGCCCACCGGTGGATAAAGGCGGCGCGGGATGGTGGTGTGGCCTTGACCCGGCGATGAGTGCTTGACGCAGCGAAGGAAGGGCGCTGCGTGCGTGGGGATGGGTGCACTTGTGGTTGAAGGGGGTTGCGGCGGCGAATCTGCGTGGTGATGCCTGACTGCTGAAGTGAGTGTGATGGGAAAGAGCATGCCTGTTGGGCTGTCCTCTCTGCATGAGACCCATAAAGACAACATCTGGATGGGGAAGGGGCGCCCGTGACCAAATATTAGCAGTTCTTATACTCTAAATATACATTCGTTTTTTTTACAACAAACACAAATTTATTTCAACAGCATCTAGCTGCTAGAACCATTACTGAGTCAATGATTACAGACTGAAGTGCAGCTTGTAAAGTGCACTGGTTTACATGATCTGCATTAGAGCAAGAATAGGAAGCAGCATGAGTAGATGAATCTATGTCCCTTAATGCTTGTCTTGCAAGAGTATCAGCAGTTTGATTTAGGAGACTTGATATCTTGTAAGTTCTTGGGCTTCTGCTGTGATTGTAGTTGATGAAGAGCTGGGTCATGTGCTTGATTCTCTAATCTGGAGGGTTGGAGAGGTCTGATGAATTGAAGAAATTAACTAGCTCTTGATTATCAGATAGAAAGTTGATACGCTGAATTTGAAGGTGAGCAGTCACAGCTGCCGCTAGCGCCAGGGCAGCTGCCTCAGCCATAAAGAGGTTGAGTGTTGCAAAGGTGCTTTGATATAGATGCTTTGATGAGGCTGGACCTGGGTATTTATGATGAAGATACCAAGTCCAGCATTCCTGGGTAGCAATGAACCCTGATCCGGCTCAGTGGAGGCGTCAGTGTAGCACCTGGTGTTAGTTGATCTCCCTTGGATCCACGCCCTGATTAGGGACGCCCAACCCTACATGGTTGGTGAGCTCCCGTCACACTGCGCTATAAATAGAGGTGGGGGCCGGTGACTCTCTTCACGAGGTTCACCGTGAGCAGCCACAGTCACCCCACCGACATAACCCTAATCCGATCTAGAGAGTGCGCAACCCGGTGATGGGAGCTCCATTGCCTTGCCACCACCGGACTGTGTCACGGACTTCACTGCTACATCGCCATTGCGCCTCATCGACTCGGACCGTTACCACCGCCATCACCATGGATGGCTCCGGCAGCTCCTCCATGAAGCCCTCTGAGGGTCGAGACCACTGCCCCTCTCCTTC